ATGCAGCAGCTCCAGACTAGTGTGCTGACTATAGGATTAAGAAGTAAATCTAGCTCAATTTTTGGTGCTTTGGAGATTCAGGTTTGAATGCAATGTACTGCTGCTCATTCACTGGTCTTGCCTATTAATGTCGAACTCGTGGTACCTAGAGGTAACAAATAAAAATTTCAGTGCTCTCACTTTACCCTGTGGTTTGTCCTTTTTTCTAATCCCACACAGAAGCCACGACTGCACCACCGTGCACTGGTGAGTTCTTTTTGTTCCTGGCTCTGGCCCGACGCGATCACTGCCTTTCAGCTGAGCAGATACAAAGGAAGCTATTCCAACCACTTTCACTGTGTGTGCTCACACAGAGGCACTGTGTGGCATAACAATCATGCATTTTAGTAGCAATGCATGATACAATCCTTATCTTATACAGCCATGTGCGTACGAGTGTTCCTGGGCTTGCTTGGGATTGCTTCTTTGTTTACTGGGGGGTTTTTATAGATAGATTTTTAAAATAATATCTTGCAGCAGCTGTTCAACAGAAGCACATCAAGTGAGAAATGGAAGATGCAAGAGACTTCCTTTCTCTCCTTTCCTAGGTAAGGGAGATGGAAAACTGCCAGTCTGAGCATCTTATCTCACAGCTGCTCTTTTGTAGGTCTATAACATGCCAGCGAGCAAACCAGCAGACAGCACTTGGGCAAAACAAGGAGCCAGTTGGGATAGCGGTTTCCAACAAGCCAGCAGATGTTATTTTGGATACGATTGCCTAGCATGATCAAGCTCACCATGCATGAAGGTCACAAGATCTATAACATTTTAAAGTGAGTTCAGCACTCCCAGTGCTGAAGTGCCAGCCTCAGAAGTTTCAAGTTCCTTTTCTTACAAGCAGAGGCAGCAAACCCAAAGTCCAAGCACCTATGATATCCCATGCCAGGTAATTGCAAACCACTGCTTTTGGCCTTCACAAATTCACTCCCCAGCTCCATGAAACCACTGCTTATCCCTCAGATACTGTGATGGGAAGATGCCAGCCATGAGGGTAAAGGGATTTTTTATGTAAGCTGGGTGTGAAAAAAAACTTGCTTTCAATAGCCAACTTAAGGTCTCAGATTGTACCAAAACACAGAAGATGCTACAGGAGTTTTCACATTGCAGAGATTCCACATCCATTTAATCCAGGGCCAGAAACATTCAGAAAAATCCACCAATACCAAACTGCACAACAGCAAAAAACCAAAACAACAAAACACATTCAAAAAGCAAATGCTAGTACTAGTGCAATAAAGCCACTGACAGAGTGCAGAATTGTCAACACAAACCAGGAGCTTGTGACAGCAGGCTCCAAATAACACAGAACCTCTGCACTGCTGCTGAACATAACCAGAATGTTTACAATCACAGCTCACAGGCCCTCACAAGCCCAAGTTCTCTCAGGCAGAGAAACTCCACTGACTTAAACAGAATCCAAAATAATATTTGCAAGGCCAGTTATCAACAACCTGCCTGAGGCCAGTTAACAACAACCTGGTTCCTGAAAGAGACTGCTCCTTCTGACGTTGGTATAAACTGCAAGTGCTCACAAACTGGTTGTGATGTTGACAGAATTCCCATTTGGTTGTCTAACTGGAGCTGTGGTTAAGCATTAACTCTATTCTCATCACCAGATGTTTATCAGGAAAACCACTGTCACAGCAAGCATAAACACAGGCCAATGGTGATACCCTACTTTCAGACAGTTTCCTTGGATGGAATATCAAATGACTTAGATTCCTAGATAAAATCTGTGCTGAGCCTAGGAAGGAAAGTCCACATAAGGGCAAATATGGGTGTATGTCACAGTAGGAGGAGGTAACTGAAGAGACTCTAGCCACACAAATGCTGTGCTGTCCTAACACGTGCTGCAGTCTGCAGGTCACTTCTATGTAGTTGGTAAATCATTTATCCTCCAAGCACCTTTAAATAACAAGTGAGATCTAAGGACGTCACTATCACATGCATTTCACTACTAACTGGACTGAAGTCAAGTGAAGTGAAAACGCTGACAGTAATTCCAATTGGATGTTCACTACCTAGATTGCATCTAAGCAAACCTTGACATCTGCTGCTCAGACTGTTTCTATGACAGCAATGCCAGACGCGGGGCCTTGTCTTTGTCTTAGTGTCACCACAGCCAAGCCAGAACAATCAGAACAATCCCTATGGCCATACCACAGGGCAGGCAGCACCTCCCTTGAGAATCACGCTCTTTGGCATCTGTACAAACTTTTGCCCAGCATCTCACTGTTGGGAAAGTGAACACATCCACGTGTTTTTACATTTCAGTGTCCTTATTACAAGAAGCTTCACTCAGGGCAAGGCAGAAACCCCAACAATACCAGCCTTGCATCCAGAGCACCCATTGGAAAAGGTAATTTGTTTTAAAATGGTAAACAGCCTCAACTTCAGGAATCAGTGTACAAGTCTGTTAAGAGTTTGACAGATGGCAGGTAGCCACTCCTAGTCTCCCTCTCCATCATGAAAATGCTTAGCCAAGTTTGTCACATCTATCAGGCAATGCCCTTGGCTCTTCTTTTTTGTTAACTTTTGGTAATTCCTGTGTTTGTGTGTCAATCTGTCCCTAATTTAGATCCTTATTTTCCAAAGCATTTCCATACATCAGATAAATGTCATATGCCTGAAATATGCAAAAGGCATTAGACTTCAATCTGGACATGCTTTTAAACTGATCACAGTGTCATTTGTGTACAAAACCTAGAGGTTTTGAAATTCTATAAAAAAAGTCTGCTTCCTCCTCTATCCAAAGTAGCACAAGACATCATTACCCATTTTTACCTGCACAATAATGTAAGCCAGTTCTCACTACTTCTGTTTAAGGACACGCTGCACTTATTTAATCTTTTGAGAAGGAAGGTAGGAATTTCATTTGTCTAAGTCTTGCAAAGCATCAACTCCTGAACACACCAGTGTGACCAGAATAATTCTGGGGAGAGCACAGCCATTGCAGCCTGAGGAACATCAGCAACCTGTTGGAAAGAAGCAGAGCATGTTCATTAGGCAGAGACTTCAACAACAGCTGACAGGAAATAAGGGATCTCTTCATGTGGGGGCATGTTCTTCACGTCTTAGCTTATTATTCATCTAAGGGCAGCCACTGGAGGCATGAGCATGTTCTGTGATTTAATCAGAACACAGTATTCTACAATACATATGAGAGATAGGGATTTATTTCCCCTGTTAGTCTGGAGGAAAGAAGGTAGGGAGCTTTTCCTGGAGGAACTTTCCATCAATATATCTTTCCATTGTTTATATTTAGTGCTTCATCAAGAGTGCATACACATTCACAACATCATATTTCACACAATTTTATTTATAAAATTGTAATTATCTAACAAATTGCATATAAAATGATTTACTTCAAGTAAATACAGAATACTGCACGACTATTAAAACTATTGTATTGTCCATCATAAGTGTATTAAAACATTCCTAAAAAATGCCTCTATTAAAAAACAAAAAACCCAAGAACACAAGTAGCATGACCAAGACCATTTTCAATAGCTTAAAATGAATTACCAGGAAGTTGCATTAACCTCCTAAGTAGACTCCAGTTACATCCATTGAGAACAGCATGTGATACAATACCACAGTCTAATGCTAAAGATGACAAGTAATACATTATGCACCTGATCTATGCTTTTCTCCTAGACTGAAGGGAACCAGTCTGAAATCAGAAAACTAAAGCTCAAGTCAAACTCTACTGGGCATGCAGTTCTGTTATAGCAATACTTTCAATCGGTAAATGTAGTTGGCTTTTACAATCAATTTTACAACTGATAAAAAAGGAACACAAGAGAATACATTCGTATAAAAAGGAATGATACACAAAGGGTAAATATTGACACCTTGCTGTACACCTTCAGATGAACGAGAAAGATTCAGCTGGAACTAATGTGGAATATATTTATCAGAAATGGATCTGAGTCATAAACTCACATTCCAATCTTCCCAGAGCTCAAGGTCCATCTCTACTATGTACACAGTGTGAACATGAATGCACATACAGATGGAGCTTTTTATTAACACACTTATATTGCCAAAACACAAAAGACAGCTAGCAGTGCTGCCTTGTGCACACTAGTAGTACTTCTTCGTATACTGCATGTTAAGGGAGACAGATTTTTTTTTTTTTTTTCAAGGGGCAAAATTTGGTCGCTAATGGATCAAGGTAGTATTATTTCATTTGTTTTAGACAGTTTCATCACTTGTTACAGGTATCTGGAAAAGATTCAGGGAAAAAAGAAAAATGGGAGGAACTGGAATATTCCGCAGTGCTTGACACCTTTTGAGGTCTAATCTTCTTCCACCAAAAAAAAACTAATAAAAAACTAAGTAAGCCAGACTACAACCCCCAAAAAAAAACTTTTCTAAATTTTATCATCTCTTTTAAAGCAACAAAAACTTTTGTTGTTTAATATTATTTAAATTTTATTGTTTGATAAAGAGAATTTTTTCCACTTTTCTCCAAAAAAATATTTTCTCCGGGACCAATTAAAAAAGCCAATTAAATCTGCTTTTCTAAAAAAAACCCTTTAAAAGTTCTCCCCCAAATTTACCCTAAACCAAAACAAATACATAGGTATTTGCAGAACTGCTATTTCAATGCACTCAAAAGACATTCACAGCAAGAAGGGAAACAGAGTCGAAAATTCAGACAATAATTTCTCTCGTAACCAACCATATTACCCAAGACCAATTTTAACAAGGGCATCTCTAAAGTAGTAAAAACACAGATTGACATCCAGGACAGTTCTTATAGCACCATGTTTAGTCCTGCCACAAATGATGGCAACCTCCCATAACTGGTAGGAGGTGCTGCCACCAACTCTCCACTTTACAGTCAAATGCTGTTCTAACGCCAAGCAGCAAAGGGAAAAGGCAAGGGAGACCCTGCCACTAACCAGGCCCGAAGGGCTGGCCAGGGCTTCACCTTCCTCAGGGGCAGCCACCCACTCACAGGGCAGACACCGAACACGGGCAGCTGAGGTGCTCCTGCTGCTCCATCGGCACGAGGGACAGCCAAGACAACCACTTGGGACTCTCCGGGTGGACACCTTTCCTCTCCATAATAAACATTTTCAGGGTGAAAAGCAGTCATGTGCAAGAAGCATTTAATCTGCATGCTACTATTTACATTCCAAACACTATTTACACACCAGAACTACAGTGAGCATCTCTCTCAAAGGGGAGAGAAGAAGGCTTTCGGGACAGAGTACACTTGAGCAAGCACCCCCACAGCTTCAAACTCTAAGGGGCACAATCAAAATTTTGGATTTTAAGCAAAGAGATCCTACTGCTACCAAAATAGACACAAAAAGATGACTCACACATTTGTCCATTAGGCTATTAATCAAAAAAAAACCCCAAACCCAAACAACAGAAAGGCCTGTGAATAGAGAGGGTATTTAGAAAGCAGAGGATCAAGGACTGTGAAGCCCTCTGGCAGGGCTCAATGGGATATATGGAAATAGCTTTAAAGCCAGCGCTGCTGCTGAGCTACCAGAATCCTTGCTAGCAATGCCACTACTCCACAGGAATCACCCAGCAAACAGAGCTGTTTCCCACTCCGTAAGCTTGACAATAAATTTCTGAAAAACTACTGCATGTTAAAGATAATTAGGCTGATCTCTGAACTCACATGTACCCCACCACCACACCAGGCAGGAAACTGCCATGGAGTCTGAGTGCCTACCACATCTTATTGCTTTAGACACTGAGCCCACGTAGCCAGCAGTTGTGCTTTAGTTGCAATTCACGTGACCTTTTCAAAGTTTCCTGGAAAAAAGTTTGCTTGTATTTGGCAGGCTCTGACAATAATACATTGATTTCCAAGGCCTCCCACAAGGTTTCACAACTGGACACCTAAGCTGCTGAGTAGCTGTTGTGGGACATTTCGAGGATATCTTACCTGATCTGTAGACAAAAAAATGTGGGATTTAAATGTGTAACAGACAGCTAAACAATCAGTGCACATCCATCAAACTGCAAAAATGAGTAAATAAGTATCTCTTGGGAACAAGGGAGCAAGAAGGATTAACAACCACAGCAATAAAGACGAGCTCTAGAAAAGGAAGTTATCTAGTGGTTTTTGTAAGAACAGTCAGTCATTCTGGGATTCAGCAGAAGTGTTGCACATTTGTGTGTAGACGTGCAAGTTGTGAGAACAAGAATTGCTCAGCTTGGAGCATTTACCCTCCTATCAGTCTGACACTGCCAACTGCACAGCCAGCAGACTGGAACTCGGAGAACAGCGTGACAAGACAGAAGGCCAATACAGTACAACTGCAGAGATTCAAGTAGAAGAATGAAGCTATCTTCAGAAACTCAGAGCAGCAACAGTAGTATTCAAGATCAGTGGCAACAAGGAATGCTTCTGTAATTAGGCTTTTTGTTTTCCCTCCAAACCAAAGCCCAGGATCACAATCAAGACTCTTTGGTGGAGGGGTTATTTCCTCAACCCCACTTCCCTGATTCCTCCCTGCACCATTTTGTCTCAGTGCAGCAACACTGGTGCTGATGATCTGTCTGTCCTGCCACTATCAGGCAAAATGGTATGTCCCTCTGGGGGAAAACAACCAGTAACTCCCCAAATCGAGGAGTGGCTAAGAAAAACATAACACTGTGCTGAGGTGGAACCAACTTTATTAAGGACAATGAAATATAATTGCTTTGAAAGGCTTTAAAAAATACTCTGAGTCATGGCTGGCCTTTAACAGCAGATACCAAGGGATATGGAGGCTGCCTGATTCAGAGCCAGTCAGTGGGAGTTAACCAGAAGAGGATGAGGTAATGCTCAAAGATGGGAGGACAACAGGTCTGCTGAGGCATCTGTGAAGCAGCAGCGTGCCCTTCACCAGCCTTCATCGGGGAGAAAAACCACGGCCAACTAAAGCACAGAAAGGCAAAATGTGCAAGGGTACGTATATTCATTTGTTTAAGTGTCACAGGACCAAAAAGGGCCTTAACAAGTCACCAGATCAGCCTTCTATCTATCCCCCAAAACAGGGAAGCTTTGAAAGCAATGTGTTCCTCTCTCCTACTCCATATACCTTCTGGTTTAGGAAACTCAACTCAAAGATGTTACATCCTTACAAGGAGGTGCTACACACCCTTTGCCACTGTCTGACCAAAGCGGGACCACAGCTTTCAGGACTGGTATGGAGATACTGAGAAGGGTCATAAAACACACTAAATTTATACAAAGTGCAATAAACTACCCAAGCCATGTCAGGTCTTTAAGTTCACTATTATTAGTGAAGAAGAACAAATCAAAAACACTAAGCTGGATGGAGCCTGATTAAAGTTTTCTCCACTATTTGTGCTTTTTGCCACATTCTGCTTTCTTGTGTCCAATTCAAAAGGGTCTGCCTTAGCAGATCCTAATAAATGCTTCTATTTTAAGATTTTTATTCTGTTGCTTCACAGAAAGAAGAAGAAAGCTCTTTGTTGCCTTTAGAGCAAGAAGAGGAGACATCTCCATAGTATGAATTTGTTCACTGGAGGTAAGCGTTTACTCTGACAAAAACTGTTCTCTCCAACTTCCAAGAGAATGGGAAATGATCTTCCCATAATCACATGCATTTATCAATAAATAAGTTTGGATTAGACTGTATTAAAACATATGCACATATTTAAAGCACTGGAGTGTCACAGATTCTTATTCCACAGCTCATGCAAGTAAAAAGAATTAAAGAAAAGAAAAAGATGAAAAGAAAGACCAAAGCCCTAACTAGGAACAGACCAAAGAAACAAGCTTCGCATGAGTATGTCAAAGCATTAACATCAGTGAGATCCCTAAATACATTAGGTTACACTAAATTTCAGAGAAACAAAAGATTTTGCCATATCAGATACATAAGTTTTGAATTATTTTAAGTTAATATATAATCCATTATTTGAATATTATTCTTCACTTGGACCCAACATCCACATTGCTTTCATACATTTATACAGTTATATCCCATCCTTGCCTTAAGAGACTGACATCCAAAGGTATGGCAGCAACCCTTGTTCGTCAAATAGAAAACTCCTTTCCCTTCATACAAGAGTGGAGAAGGAAGAAAGATCTTGACAAAATTAAGCAAATTCTGCCTTCTGCTGATTCCAACCTCAAGGTACTAGAGGGAGATGGTTGGAAGCTTGCATAAAAATAATTTCCCTTGTTTTAAAAACAAATTTTTTTTACTGTACAATAGATGCATAGAAAGTTGCTTCCTGCTTCATGGGTTTAGGCCTGTAGCTATGTTTAGCTGTGAAAACAAGAAGATTGTTCCTTTACAGAGTGGTGAGGAGATAGAACATCTCAGGAATATTTGGCAGCTATCAAAGAGCTCATGACATGAAGAATAAACAGCATATCCACAGACTACAACAATGCAACTCTGTCTCACTGAATACACCAATTTAAAAAAGTGTCCACTTGTTACTCAAAAATCAAGAATACAGTAGAGATTCACGGCTCAACAGCTTTCAAAGTGGTGGTTGAAAAGAAAAAAAAAATTGTCAGTGAGCAGCAGATTTTCAATAGCCCACTCTTCTCTCCCCCATCCCGAAAAAAACACAAGTTCACTGCAATATCAGGAACTTAAACTTGAGACTACTTGGGAGAGAAGGCTTCCCTGTCACCCATGTCCATACAGCTTGGTGTCGGAGTGACACACTGGAGGTTTCAGAGGGTTTCGGTTGTCCAGTGTCTTGTTGTGGTTACTTCAGCAGTTTTACCAGCTGGCTCTGACAGCCTCAATGTCACTAACCAAATTCTGGGCTAAGCATATCCCAAATATCTGGAAGAGATAACAGTTTATTCATTTGGAGCATTAGACAACTTTTCACATAGGCAAACTCCTTAGGTTATACAGAACTTAGATAAGAAAGAAACAACACAGGTAGAAATTAAATTAATAGTAAGTGTTGGAAGAAGAAAGAATATTGCAGAACTCCTGTAACCCCAGTATTTTTATGGTGGTACCGGTTTCTAGTTAATTAACAGTTCTAATCTTGTTTCAAAGCAAAGGCTCTCCGCTGCTCACCCAAGCACCACTGGAAACAGTAGGTCTGTACAGGCTTGAAAGTCTCTACATAAGGTTTATCTAACAGAATGTTAGTTTCAACCTGCTGAGAGTTGAAAAGAAAAAAATTGCATCCCTGTAGATAAAAACTAAATATTCCTTAACACAAAGAAAGCCTCATACATTTAATTCCCACTGCTAAAACCCACAAACCGGCAACTGGCACTGCATTTCCCATTCTCCTACACAGCTTCCCCCCTCATATATTCACTTTATCTGTTATTCCTCTGTGCAACTCATTCTAGGGAACATGATGTTTACCTGCAGTAATGCTATCCCAATGAATATACCAGCAACTATGGTAAGGTTGTCCTGCAACCATTTCTCAAACTGAGGGACACAGCCTTTAGTGTAGATAACAATCTGCTGATCAACTTCCTGCCAAGGAGAAGAGGGAAGAAAACAGAGATAATTACATTCAACTACACCATCAGCAGAACAATCTCCTCTTGCAATAGGGATTCAGATCCTTAACATACCACATTAAGAAGAGAAAAAAAAAAAAAGCTTACTGGTTTTTGCCTGGCATCGTAGCCACACTGAGTATTAATAACATCTTCCTAGAGGAGAGAAGAGAAGAGAGGCAATCAGTAAAATGTCTCCCAAACACCTTCTCCCAACTTCCTGGAGTTGGTGCTGTATGTAATAAGACAATCACCCAAACTCTGATGAGCATATTGCTTTAATTAAAAAAACCTCCTCCTTCACTCTGCACTATTAATTATTTGCGGCAAACAAGAGCATACATCAAAAAGAAATTTATCTCTCAAGTCAGCAAGCTGGGAAAACCAGCCCTCACCTGGATGAACTCCGTGTTCTAGGTACAAGCATTTAGTAAAGTAAAAGGACTATGGAACATCTATGGAAAGTGAAAGAACCTTCTGCTGAAAAGGTTTTGTCTGTACTAAAAAATATGCCAAGACTACTGCTGTCATTTTCAGGGTTCAGTATGTGCAGAATGAAGAGGTGACAAGGGGCAGTTCTGTTGCAGAAGCTGCAAGTTCTTTCTGAGAATGTCTCTAGAAATATGTACGGTTCCTTACCAAAAACCTGAAAGAAAAAATAACAGATGGAGTAATGTGTTCTTACTGCTTGTTCTTTCTTATAGGAGCTTGATACCAATGGGAAAGGAGGGGTTCTTCCTACTCCCTTTCCTTTAGTACTCCCAAAGCTCAGGTAAATAAAATAGGCTCTGGCAGATTTTCCCTAGTGAACAAATGCTTCCCATTGGCAGCTGAAGCTGTATTTTTACTTTGTGTACAGTTATTTCATGGTAATAAAACAAAGCATGAAACTTTTGGCATCAGCCACAATGGCAGGAAAATATTAAGTTACTGACTTATCATATAATGACAGTGAGTAGAAGGAGGAGTACTCAAGAAAGTGAGAAAATCAGCCAATCTGAGCTAGGTGTACCAAACACCACAATTTAATCAAATTGTGGGAAGTGGGAAAGACAAGCACTGTCTTTGGATGGATTTTAAAAAGCAGCCACATGGAAAAAAGTATCTCCTATCAGCATGGAAAGCTCCTCTGTTTCCTCACTTTGTAGGACGTTCAACAGGTTGCATTCTGTCAGCTGCCAAAACTGGATTCCCTTAATGGATCTTCAAAATTCAAGCAACTTTTATCTCCTAACAAGATGAAAGCTTCATCTTGTTTCAGGACCTAAGTGAAAGTTTCAGGACCTAAGTTCCACAGACTACAAGGATGTAAAAGCACCTAAGATTCTGAAAGAAGGATTTTAAGTTTTCTACCTTGTACTAAATGCCTAGTTGCTTCATGACTAATGTCTTCTGCCTTTAACCTTGGAATTTGTTAACCAAAAGAAGGTACGAAAAATGCAATGGAAATAAGTTTTCTAGACTTGCCTATACAAGATTTTAGAACACTTTAACCTCCTTAACTACATCAAAATGAACTATGGTAGTCAAAATTTGTTTCAAGAAACTTATTTTAGCCTGCCTTAAACTTACCACTTCCTTACCCAAGCTAAACTAAAAACAATAAGGCGTCCACATAACTGTTTGCGTCAGTCCAACACTGAAACCTAATTCTAAAAGGGACAAATTTGCTTTTCCACAGAATAAACATATGTTTATCACTGCAATAGAACCAATCACAGCTTGGTTACAATTATTTTACTTGTATGCATGACTTCTAATGTTTTGAGTTTTTAAAGGCCATTAAGGTTGTTTCCTTACAGTGAATGAGATTTATCTTTAAATTTCTGGTTGCTGCATCACACCCTAACAAACTGCATAGCCATTTAAACAACTGAGAGAAAGAGAGAACTTTAGGATGGATTATGTATTTATAGGATTACCTTGTACTGCTGTCACTGGTTTGGTTTTATAACAACTATATTTTTAAAACTGGGTTGTGATGACCTCTGTGTGGGTGGGTAGGCAGATAGGCAAACAGCAGAGGGAATCCTAAGCATAAGGAAATGTTTGAGCCTAACCGACATTTTGCTTTAATATCCTGTTAAAACATTTTCAGCTATGTTTCTGAGAAAAATTCAAACTACTGTGAAGTCACATTCACTGCAGAGGAACCAGAACCAGCTTGTGCAAGTGGCAGTGCCTTATCAGGAGAGGGGGAGAGCAGCAGCAACTGGAGGCCAGGAGCAGCAACTGCATTGCATTATTAGCAAGGCAGGAAGCACCTGAGGTGCCTTTTGGCAACTTGCCTAACTCCAGTCTGTGCTAGACTAATATATTCAAGGAACTGTAAGTCATTCCAGGTGAAGACAAAGCCACAGCTGAATTGCTAGATAATAGAAGCACTCAAAGCTAGCTTCTTTCAAGCTATATAAAGTCAAATATATACAGTGCTAGGCACGTAACAGTTTCCATGCACACACCCATCCCTGTTAGTGAACTGATTCCCTACACTTCACCCTTCTTTATCATATCCCTATTAGCAATGCATGGCTCCAACATTTTCCACTTGATGATGCAGAACTATAAATATTTTTAACGGCATAAAAATTTACCTAAAAGCTGCTCCCACAAACAATTTCTGACCTTTCAAGTCTGATTTCAGGTGACTGTAGGACAGGCAGTAATTTTAAAGTTAAAAAAAGAGTATGTAAAGATACCCATAGCCAACTGAAGATTTCAATGCAAACATGCCAATTCCTCAGGGCACAGACTGTCATTCATTACCATACCTGGCACAAAGTGGGTCAAACTGGCTAGAGCCTCGAGACACCACATTAAATAATGAATAATACCTCCTTTAAAGTGTCTGATCTCAAGGGTTACTGTTCTGATGAATTTCAATTGAAAGCTCACATCCTTCAACTCATTAAGCACTTCTCCTTTTTATACCTGCTAAAATTAATATATATGTTCAGCCAAGCCCATAGTTCTCTCCTCCTAAAAATGAAGAGCTAAGTTATGAGTTTTGCTGATTGAAGAAAAGTTAGTGATTAGGCTGAGCTGCAAGAACAATAAAAAAAAAAATTACAGGTTGGAAAGAAGTTAATAATCAGGCTCAATTTTCAGAAACAAGAAGGAAAATCTTGAAGTGTTATTTATGACTGGAACAGCACACCCATCCTACCCCCTAGAGCATCACTTACAGCAGGGTCTTTAGTACAGCAAGAGAATGGCACACCACAGCGCTCTCGGCTCGCGTTGGAATCTGTACAATTGAAGTAAATGTTAAGGTTCCAGTCATCAGCTCCAAAAGCCCCACAGCACTGCCACTAGAACAAAAAAAGAAGAGCTTCTTAAATTTCAGAATGAAAATCTCAGCATTAGCAACATGCATGGCTGCTGCCAGTTTCCCCTGTAGCTTTCAAAACAAAATCTGAGACTCCCACTGCTTTCATTGAAACTGCCTTTTTTTTTGTTTGGTTGGGGATTTTTGTCATTTTTTTAAAATATCACTCCAAATGGGTAAATTGTTCCAAAGTTATCATGTGACTAAAGTTACATTCACACCCTGCTATGCTGGTGTCTGGAGAGAAACCCATGGGTGAGCTGATAAGCCTACACAACGCCACAGAGTTGCACAGGCCTACAAGCTCAGGCCGAAGGGATAGCAGAGCCAAGAGTACAATATTCTGCCCAGTCTAATGAGCCCAGGATTTCCAAAAAAACAAGTTCAAGGGCTACACTGGTACTCCTTTTGCTGGTTTGGGGGAACTTTGCCTGGCTGTACATCAGTGTGAACACACTGTTCCCTGATCATCACACATTGCACAATGAACACCTTTAGTGAATCCTTAAGAGAGTAAATCTGCCAAAGGCAGGCATAGTCTGGCAAAACGTGTTGAACACACAAGGAACTGATGTGTTTTGCTGAACATACAAAGGATGGACTGGAGACCGGGGAAACACTGATGGCTTACAGCAAATAAGGAGCTAGACCAATGAACCAATCTATGTCAATTAAAAGGAAAAAAAACAAAACCAAACACAATTACATTTTTAAAAGCATTGGAATAGCCATTCTCTCCTTCTAGATGTAGCAGTTCTCTTTGCAATACCTGACATGTTGTCTTTATGCACCATCTCTATTGGGTGAAGAAGTAACTCGCTCTCACAACTCGTGCTGCCCCTGGCTTACTTGCTGAATGCTAATGCAGTTAGGAGAGAAAGCCTTGGGAAGTCATTGCAAATTTGGACTGTAGCCTTTGGCTGCATACAAGTGGACTACTACTTTCAGTTTGTGCTGACCTCTGACCTTCTTGCAAAAGATTCAAAACAGTGCAAGGATCCACATCCTCTTACCATTTTTCCCCCTGGCACAGAGAAACAAATCAAGCACTGAAACTATTTTAATTGTAGAGTGAACAAAAAATAGTAAACATCAATTCAACCAACACTCAGCCATGTTAGCCACACAGTGCCAGATTCAAAGAGGACTTCCTCAACACCTGCCAGAACTGAGTACTGGAGAGGGAAGGTACTGGCAGACCTTGTGTGCTAAAGTCAGCGCAAGAATTCTTTACACACACTGACAAATTACAGAGCTTAACCTGCACAAACAGGTACACCACTGGTTTCCCCCTTTTCTCCCAAGTGCAGATGTGGTATCACTTAGAGGTGTCCTACAAGAACTCTACAGGTGGTCCACTTCATTAGGCTAATTCCATTAAGTCTAATTCAGAAGAAATAAAATTGTAGTTTCATTTGGACCAACTAAATACCTCTACCATTCTGCAGTGTTGCTAAAAACTACACCAACATTCATCTTAGGATCAAATGGAGCTTAGAAAATGAGTAAATTCTTAAACAGATGTGATTGCTTCCATAATAAAATATTTTAACTTTGGCACACTAAATCTTCAAGAAAAATCACTCCAACTCCCCATCTTGTTTTATGCAGTCATACATCAATAAAGCCACTTTACATAGATGCTGTGTGTTTGCAGTTCTGTAAAAACAAATATAAATACATTCAAAGGCATTATATGCTGGAATATTTCTGTTGCTCCTTGAAGAAACAGAACAGATGGAAAGTAAAGAATAAGAGCAGGTATTTCTTAAAAGTAAGCTTTACAAAAAAAATAACAGTCCAACTTACATATTCCTGTGTGAAGTCTATGAGGTTTTGTAAATCAATGTCATCTCGGTAGGCTCTGATGTTGTTGTTTATAAAGAAATACAGCTGGTCCTTTATCCAGTCTTTGAAAACAAATGCTAGAACACCAGCAGTGAGCTCCAAGAAGAAAATAATTCCAAGAAATACAGAGAACTATGAAGAAAATAAGAAAGGCTAAAATTATTTTCCTTTATGACCAGAACTTTCTCAAAGCCCTCAATTATATCTAGTGATAAGGCTTTATCTGTTTCAGTGCAAGTTCAAGCCATTTTGGCACATAGGAAATTTTAAATTAAAAACACACCATTTTTATTGGAGCTGCAGAACAGAAACTTTAATTCTATTGTAAAAAATAACAAAAATGCTAACAAATGGCCAAACCTTGGACATTTCACTGAGATTTTCAAAGAGATCCAAGAGAATTCACTGTAAATTTCAAGACATAGCTAGTCACCACCACATGTAGGGCCCTTGAAAACTGGTCTTAAATTTCAACATAGGCATTTACATTTTAGAAGGCATAAACAACTAATATAAAATGTGCCAGTAAAATGCTTTCTACATGACTTTTGCTTTAGATCCTTTCACTGGCAAAGCTTCACCCAAGCAGACAAAGCAGAAATTGGTAACAGCAGAAATTAATTAATGACTAAGTCGGAGCAGAATGTCTATGAAATTACTCACATCCACATTAAAACTAAATGAGGCTGCTATGATTAATGCAAATGCAATGGATGCCAAAGGCATTACTAATGATCTGCCACTTTCCCTAAGCATTTCCACTGAGTCTACACTGTTTTAAACCACACAGGGGTCCTGGTATACTGGAAGTCCATCCCCTTTGCAACTGTGCCTTTGAGTTTCACTTTAATATGCTCTCTCTGTGTGTTCAGATACATTTTTAATTTCTCCTGCAGCTGCTGTATGGGAAGCTATTTCTGGTACAGCAGATGGGTTCAGTTTAGGCAAGCTAAGAGAAGCAAAGAAGAAGGAAAAAACAGTGTTACAAGCTGCTTTATAAATGCCTCGAGAACTGTGACTCTCAATAGCCTCCTCCCCTTATACAACATGTCTGTGAGAGCCAAATGTGCCACTTGGAGGCAGTTATTTCACTGAAAGCTTTTTCATGTATATATTAACAGTTAATGGCTATGAAGACACAACTGTGTCCACAGGCAGTGCCCACCTCTGGAAAGGGGAGGGGTGGAGGAAAAAAATCTTTACTATGAATTTTCAATTTACCTAGAAGTGAACATGATACTGTTACCCTCATTTTCAAAAGTCACAGGAGGAAATCTTTCAAAATACAGAACCCAGCGACTTAGTTGAAGAAGTTCTGCATACTGAGGTTCATTTGCATGCCAGCAGCTCCTTCCCTAACCAACAATCCAGCCCAGAATTCAAGAAAACTTCCATTTTCTTTCTGCATCCTGGACACATTCTCCTCCCCTTCTCCTTCTCAGGCCCCAGCACTGAAAGCAATGAAACCTCTTCCAGTTAGCTGAAGAGCAGGGATGAGGGTATCAGCCAGACTGAGGATATTGTAACAGTCCTATCTCCTCTGTACCATGAGGGGCCCTTGCACAGCACAGGTCACATGGATCACATTCACTGCTGCATCTACATCCCTCATATTTCACAGGCAGCTTATTATGGACTCCAAGTTCAACACACAGATTCTCACAAGAAATTTCTCTTTTTTTGTGACAGGGAAACATCCATATGAAAATCAGTACTTCCATGTTATGATTTTTACCATCAACAGTTTTGAGCTTTAAAAAAACACAGCCAGTAAGCACCAGAGACTCAAGAGCTGTAACATGTTAAAAGCTAAGTGCTTTCCTGGTATTCTGACACTGGATAACACCTTCCTCTCCAAAATACATTTTAAAAGCTTAACACAGTTAAACAGAACAGACAACATGGCATGCTACATAAATGAGGAATGTCAATGTAAGTTGCAAAAGCTACTCACAAATTTGAGAAGAAAAGTGTTTTCTCGTAAAGCTCCAATGCATCCTGCGAATCCCAAAATGAACATAACTCCTCCTACCACTAGGAAGAGCCAAACAGGATCAAAGCCTCCCAGGTCAGTGATGGAGGAGATGTTGGACAGCACTCCCTGAGAAAGAGACAATGCCAAGGGATAAAAAGTACGTTCAGCTTTCTGTTGTACAAATTCTGACTGCATTTTTCTTCTTAAAAAGGAAAAAGACTACAGCAAAATAAATGTTCTGCAGTACAGCAAGAAAATACAATTAAGAAAATCTTTGTAACCCAAAAGAGATTAAAAAGTGCAATTATGTGGAATATTTCTGAATCAATATGTGAGTGAGTAACAAAATGTTCTTGAAGAATTCTCTGTGAGAAACCCACAGGGCATTTTCTGCTTATATAGCTATAAGTAGTCTGCCAGAAACTCAGAACAGATATTTGAACAAAACTCACTCTTATTACCCATGCTGAGACACATTTTATGTATCATATATATCATCTCTGTAAACACACAGTAACATGTTATATAGAAAAAATGTTAAAAGTAATAAAACCACCTTGAATTTAGCATTTATTCTCAGTATTTACAGCAATTGTCAGAAATTACAAATGAGCTCCTAGGTGACACTATCTTGCAACAAAAGTTTTTCAACAAATTTTGACATAATACATAATCTGGCCAATTCAACTTCAGGCATCTAAAGTGCCAAAACCTCATTCTAGAAATAAAGTATGGCTACTGACTAATTAGCTAGCAGGAAGAATTTGAAAATATCAAAGTCTCTTAGTTGGATGAAAGACAATTTAAGAACTTGTCTTGAGACGTGGTTTACATTAACTTAGAATAGATCTATCATATGTTAGACCACATATGCTGTGTTTTAGATATGACAGACAGCACTGTCTGCTTGTAATGCCATTTCTGCCTTGAAAGCAAAGCTTGGGTTGCGACACCAATTATCCTGAGGAACTACTTAAATTTTCTGAAGACATTTTAGGCAGAGTTTTGCTGATGTTGAACAGATGGGTCATATCAAGAAACAAGTAAAGTTTACCCTATTCAAGTGAGTTTGCACAGGAACAATTACAGTTTCCTAAGGCTTTTCAGCAGAAAAAAAAATGCTGAAGTTTCACTACTTGTTCATTCCCCTCCCCAGTGCTGTAGGTCAATGAAAAGCACACTGCTGTGGTTCCTCACAGAATCCTGAACTCAGGCTGAGTGCTTTGGACTACTGCTTCCTCTAAGTCCTTGAGAAGCAGCAACAGAGATCTCTACATCTTCAGCTCCTTATTTGCCAAACTCCACAGTTCATCCTTTTTCTAATTCCTGCGCATACCCCTTTGTTTCTTTGAAATAGTCCCAACACAGCAAGAGGATGCTACCATAACCTCATTTCCAGAAGTTTAAAGTAACATTGATAATGATGACTGTTCACAGCTGTGGCTTTAGATCTGTGATTTTATATATATACACACACACATACACATACATACTCGAAAGATATCAATTGTCATGTAACCAATATCTCTAACACATTACTCCATGTAGTCTGCAATCACTTTCATAGACTTCCCCAAGCAAAACCTGAGCAAGCAGTAAATATAGACAGTGCTCGAAGCTTTTAATTCTGCAGAAAAGGACAGAGTAAATAAAATATACATGTGAATTTCACCAATGCACACATCAAGGAGCCTTAGAAAAGGCCAAATCCCAAAGAAAAATCTGACTACAACCCAATTCTAAAATACCAACAATAATCCAACAGCATTTGCTAAGTATATTCTTTTCCCTCCTACTAGAGAAGGCTATTGCCAGAGATGGGAAAAAAAAAAAAAATCACATTCATCACTTTCCTCCTACATCATATAGTACTAGCCTTACTGACATTCATTAAAAAAGCAAAAAAGAGATGTAAGGAACAAGGTAACACAACTCAGAGCCAGCACTGCTATCAAAGAGGAGCAGCTGGCCCGTCCCTTTTTCTGGTACCATCTCAGTGAAGAGATGACACATACCAAGATGAAATGAACACTTACCTACCATTAACACTTACATCAACTTGTGCAAAAGTTTTTCCACTATTTTTGTTTCATTACATTTGTTAGAGAAAAGAAATCCAAGCCACCTTTCTGGCTAAGAATAACAAGCAATATAAACAGGATAATCCAACAACACACCTTTGGAAAAATTGAGGCCTTGTCCCTACACAAGTCAAGAAGCATGAGCTCTGCCTCAAGGGGAAAAACAAATACTAAAATTATTTCTTCGCAAAGTTTTCAATTCCTTTCCTCTGTGCTTACATAGTTACCATAAGATGAGAATAAATTCTGCCCTAAAGGAAGCACTACTACTCTTTTCTTTTAACATTAGTCGATTTTTAAATTAATGGACTGTAGTGTAGTAGAGTGAAAAAAACTAGTCACTGGAGAAAGGATATTGCCTTTGTTATTACTTGTATTTACTTTTTCTAAAAGCTGAAAAAGATGAAGATTTAAATCTCTCTTCATAAAACACTGTGTCTTTCCTTAAAAACAAAGTAAACCAAATCAAATAAATCAACAAAAAAAAATCAAAGCAAATTACTATGCTAAATTAACTTCTTTCCATATGAAAGTAGTCAAATTCAAACAAAAAGAAATACAAGTAAAATTCAGCTTGCAATTGTGGACAACACTGTTTGAGAAGATGGTCATAATACAAAAGTGGTAGTGAGAAACACATTACTTTGCATTTTGTTACAGTCACATGAAATTCAATAGCAATAAAATTTATTGAGCCAGTTTTATGCTGTTTTTCCACTTCTGCCCTACTTCCCTTTACTTGATTTTCTAGAACTGCCAGGCTCTTAGCCCCCTATAATGCCACATGTTGGCTGGCCACTCCTCAGGGTAGCTGGGATCCAACACAAACTGCTTAGATCAACACAGGCTTTATCTGCCATTGTTTGCTGTCCTTGGAAAGCACCTTTATGTGCATCTGTTGCTAGTCCACATATGGCAATCATAAGCCTAATTTGGATAAATCCCAAATAACACATCCAGACAATGCAAAGCACATACTGCTTAATTTGCATTCTACTCCAAATGCTCTCTGCACATGAACCTCAAGTTAGCAGTATTCTGTAGAGAAATCTAGAGACAATCTTCAGATAGGTTTTGTCAATAAAACAATAGCTAGCAGTGGGAATGAGAAACACAGACAATGCCCTGTGATTACAGTTCAAGATACACAGAAGTAGTCTGATAGAAGATTACTGCTTCCTGCTTAGAATACAATTTTACAGTCTTGTACTCTGGACTCTTGCAAATAAGCTCTCTCAAGATGCAGCAGTGCAATACCATGAAGAAAAGCACATTTTGCTTCAAGCAGCAGGGCAACAACTGGGAATAATATCTCACTTTATATTGTTAAGAAGATCTAAATGTACAGTCCTTTAAGCACACACTCTTCCTATCCACTACAAGTTTCTATAATACCTACTACACCTCCTACCACAATATATATTTTTTTTTTTGCTGCAACAGCTACTCCTGGGAAAAGTTTGACACAGATGTACAAACATCTGGTAGTGACCAGTTCTGTCTTCAACCTATCTTTAGCAGAAGGAAACATTTCCAGAGTGGCTCGAGCAGAGGATCAGTAACTTCATATTCTAACACTGCACCCTCCACCACATGAATCCTCAGGCTACGCAGTCAGTCATGGAATACATGGTGAATGTCCCCTTCTCTCATGCATCAATGCAAGACCTAAACAAACCACCTGTAAATATTTTCAAGTAAGGCATTCTACAAATTTTTCCTCAGCAACATTGCTGCAGTTGCCCACTACAACCATGACTGTTAAATTGTTGCGTGTACTCTGATACTTTAACATCTAAAAGGATGAGCAATTTTTTCCTCTAGATGCATTCCCCTTTTGAAGTATGGTTATTTTTTAAATATACACACATCACTCAGTAGTTTAGGCCTGTGTATAATCTGTATCGGCAGAAAATGCTTTGTCTGTACAAAGCTACATACTCAAGTCATTTACTTCTCACTGTGGTATCAACCCAGGGCTCTGCTGCAGTCCCACAAGGAGAGCCAGCAGGACACGTTCCCTGGCTGATCTCCAGTTCATCTGTTTGCTCTGTTCCTCCACCCTCCATAGCCTGTTGTTCATTACAGTCCATGAGTGGCTATTTAATATTTTAATCCAATGCAAACCAAAATTTATTTGGTGTACTGAAACAACAAAAGCATCATCCATAAGTGAACTAAAATAAGCAACAGTAAAGTTGTGGAAAAGTTCCTTTATTTGTGAAATGTACTTCAGTCATTAGGATACAATGATGCATGCATGGAACAGGAAAGACTGACCCCACATTTCCACCCCACTCCAAATTCAGGAGAAGTCAAATGAAATGGTTAGGACCTGGCTCTTTTCTTCACTACAAGGGTGCATTCCACCCACAGGGAAATGTGACAACCAAGCCAGGCAGAACAAACTCCTGCAAAACTGGAGTCCTCCTCCTGGTATGTGAGCACAGGTAGAAAAAAAAGCCTGAGAGATGCCTGACATGTTCTCAGGTCATGTTTTCCTCATGATCAGAGCCCTCCACACTACAAGCAGCATCCCATATATAGCTCAAGGGAGAACAAGGCAAAGGGAAAATGCTGGTCTTGAACACAGGAGCTTGCGAATGCCCCTCCTGGTGTTACAGCTGCACAATAGTTTGCCTTTATCCCATCAGTAAAGAATAAGGAAGCAATAGTTCCATACAAAAGCAATAAGAGTGCACACCCCACCCCTTCTCCTTCTTGTACTCTAAGATCATCAGAACAGCTTGTACCACTTTTCAGAGACAGACCCTTGACTTCAGCTCCTGCCTTTGGTGCACACATGCATTAATATTTCAGGTCACACCCAGCAGTCCTTTTGAAGTGATCACACACAAGCTGTGCTTCAGCTCACACCTGGAACAATCTCAGAGCACACAGGCTGGATTACTTATAAATGAGGATGTGGATCTGGAACACAACTCATGCTCCAAAACACTAGCAAGAATTCAGTCCAAAAGATCACACTAGAACTAGGTAGAAAAGAACTCAAACCTTTAAAAACCTGCAGTGTGCAAGCTGGAT